TGGTGAAGCTCCAACCACCACTGGTACATATGTTTATGCTTTCTTATAAGATGAAACGGATTATCTTTTAACCATTTATCATATATGTTTCATGCGTGGTAGGGTGTATTTATGGATGTATTTTTTATATGACGTAGTAGCACTTAACTAAAATCTATGCTTACCTACTCTGCCTGAGTTATATATAGTTTCTTGATTGTTATGTGTGACAGCTTGTGCTTTGATTCATCATTCATTATTCAAGATCAAGATGCAACAAATATCTCAACTCCAAGTCAACTATTGTTAACACATATAATGGCAACATTATTTACCATAATCAAGTGTTCTATATACTCTTTCTATATGATTTCTGAGTCCTTCTGCTATCATCTATGGGCACTTCATATGTCTAATATGTGTCTGTTTATACGTATCCATATGTATGTGTCACTTAGAAGTTAATGGCCGGCGTGCCATGAAAATTAGTCACATTTCGTTTAGCGGCTGGTATTCAGAAATGTTATAGCTCTACCAAAAGTTTTACAATATATGTATGCCATACACCGGGAACTTATTGAGTAATGCTACAATTACTAGTAGACCTAACAACGTCTCTCGCGTTTTCTTTTTTTTCTTAATTTTTTTTAAGAAATTCTTTTTTATTTCTATGAGTACCAGGCACCGTTACCATAAATTTGCCCATATTGGAGAATACTCACACCTCAATGGGGTCTCCATTTCGCAAAGTTAAGTTGCTTCCAAAGTATTTTATTATTTTCCAGTTACTTCAACCAGAAACCACAAATTAGACTTTGTCGCCATAGAAAGGTTTGCTTGCACGACTGCCCCTATATATGGTGCGATCTAAAAAAATAGGTTTGTATGATCCAATTTCCGTATGGTTGATTTACTAAGGGTAAAATTGGTGCGATTCGAACCCTTTCCAATAGCGTTCATCGTTTGGCCAAAACACGCCTGTACACCATATTGCGTCAAATTATCTTAAAAGTTGCGCTCTGAGTTGAACATAAGACGAACAGACGATTAGACGGACCGGACGGAACCTTAAATTGATTCAAAAAGTTACTATGGACACCACAAACGATGTAGGATATAAAAATTTATATTTTTTATTATTAGATTAACATAACCTCTTAGTTGATTTAAAGTCATTTTCTTTGAAGTGATAATGAAACATATGTAATAGTTAGGCGTTACGAATTTTCATTGGGTTTGTAGAGATGAAATTTACAAAAAAAAAAAAACACAATAAATTTTTACAAAAATCATTACTGTGTGCTTAGCAATTTAATGTTATCCTTTCAAAAGAACACAATATCCTGTTAAATAACAGGAGTACGTTTTTGTTTTTATTCCTTTTATAAAAAGCAAGAAACTCGATCAGAAATTTGCACTACAAACGATTATATAATCCAGCAAACAATAAAATGAGAAAGATAAACAACAAGTGTTTCTATTAAAGAAAAAAAAAAAAAAAAAAAAAACCATAAAAATAACTAAATATACAAACATCAAGGTCCTATACAAACAGGATTGCATTAAATTTCATTAAAATCCAATTTATTACACAAAGACAACGTAAAATCGAAATAAAAATAAAGATGGTGTTGTTTAAAAACAGAAAAGCAGAGAGCAAAATAATAATAATAAAAAAAAAAAAAAACTATTTATATATATATATATAAATATACATATAAAAGTTCTTAAAAGAGAAAAAGCGAAAAAAAATTACGTGAGGGCGATTTTCAGAATTAAAAACACATAAAAGAGATTTAAAGGGTATTTTTTATTTTTTTTTATTTTGTCTTTCTTTCTTCTACTCCTTTTTTTGTGTAAGCATTGATTGCAAGCAAGTTGGTTTAGTTTAATTTCTAACATAAACCAGAAGCTAACTGTAACACGAACGTATGAATAAAAAATCAATCTTGGCGACGAAAAGCATACAAATGAAGACATAAGAGCATAAAACCGATATGTATGTCTATTCTATATGTATGTAGATATGTATGTATGTATATGATATGGTGATAAATTCAGGTTCATTTCGTAGCCAACTATTGGTATATGCGGGCTAAAATGTTGGAAGAGAGACAAAGGCATTAACATTTTACTAATCGTTTGACTTTTAATTTGTTATATTGGATTAACAATCCTTACAAAAGTAATGATAAGCATCTGACACGACACCCAGTGTTAAGTTGAGCATTTACTACGGCCTGTGTGCTTTTTTCTTTTCTTTTTTTTTTCTTTGCTGTTACATGCGAAATACATGTAACCCGCTCTCTCTCTCTTATCATGGACTATGAATACAATTCTATATATACATAACATATTTAACTAAGAAAGCAGTACAAATATTTTTAATTTCTTCGTGCTCTGTAATACGGATTCATTTCGCATTTATTTAGTTCTGGTCTTTTGCGCTCTTACACGAGGAGAGGTCGGTTCAGTCGGTTTGTTGCGCTCTTTCCATTTGTGTTTATTGTTTTCTTTGTGTGTGTGTGTGCGCGACTTTAACGATATTGAATTACTACTAGCAATGTTTACATTGTCAAGTTGTTGACATTTTTTGTACTAATAATCTTATGCTTTCTTTTGCTGCACAATATTTGCACCCTAGGTAAGTAAGGTAGTGCCCGTTATATGTACTTAAGCTTACAAATGTTGATTGTGTTAATTATTAATCCTTTGACCATGTTTCGTGAGGGATTAATTGTATCGATCCGGTTGAATGGCTTACCCGTTTACTAAAGAGTAACAGTGTGAATATGTAATATTGTTTGTGTGTGTGTGCTTTTTTTTATATTTATTTCTTTATAACAAATAGTTGGACAATAGTTGGAATACTGTAGACACTGTAGTTACTTTATCGTTCACAATATTTGGGAACATTTGTCGCGATCCCTCAGACATTTCTGATCACAACAATAACTTATACCCTAAACTGAAGTTTTTAATATAATGTCCACATGAACGAAGTCAAATTGTATTCCTTGCACCAAGTTCTATGTCGAGTCGGACTCGATATTAAGTTATGTAACATTATTAAATGATTTTTTTTATTAAATGCGTCATATTCCGAATCTTAAATTTTCTTCATTAAGGCTACTTTTTATGGGGTTTTTTCCAAATAGTTTTGGAAATTTGTAGGCGACTTCTTTATTTGCGCTAAGGGGAGAAGATTTGTCGCAGATACAATACAGTTTTGCCATAAAACAGACAGACATGCTCAAGTGAAATTAGCCAAGATCGTATGCATGTACAAGGGTTCTAAACCTCGCCTCTGTGGGCTTTAAAGGTTTCGGAAAACAAGTGAAATTATGAAATTGATTAGGCGTGTCTGATTTCTTTTATTTTTATACTGGTATCACAGCCTCGCCCATACAAAATGCTTTCAAATTTTTATACACTTTTTTACTGCGCTTTGTTGGTGCTGAGCAAAAGACAAATTTTTAACGCCTTTTTAAAAGCGGACGTGTTCTTAGTTTACGTGGTACTGTGGGCGTGTCCTTCGACCAAAGTGGCCCATTTTTATTAACAATATGAGTGCAAGAACTTTCAATATTTGTGATCAATAGCTTCTTTTTTGCGGCCTGGAGAATGCTTACAACGACAAACAGACAGAGAGACATGCTTAAATCGATTCAGAATTTGATGTCGACGTTGTGAAAAAATTAGCCCTCATCACCCTCCGATGATGGGTATAAGAAAATGAAATTTTGATTCTTTAGAACATTAAGTAGGTGTGGCCGTGCGTGATCTCCAGAATCACCCATACGATACGCATGGATAGATATGCCGTTGCCTCTGTCGCAGGATACAGTAAGGAACGCACTTATTTTACTATTAGGAACAGATATGTTCTTGTCCTTTGACCGATTGAGCCACTTTTCACCCTGCGATTAAGAAGTCACAATATTTTTAATAAATTTGAAGCTGATATCTTAGTTCATGCGACCGGAAGCATGTTTCATTTTCTTTTGTAAAAATATTGTCTTCTACCCAGTCAGTGCAGCAAATTTGCATTGCATTTAGCAAAAGGGAAACGATTTTCGAATAAAATAGATTTCACTATATTTGATATTTGGCCATTCGTGGCCTACAAAATTACATTCAGGCGTGTACAAGTATGAGATGTGCTCAACAAGGAAAACAACGCGAAATCTATCGAATGTACCGAATCGGGCAGATATGGATATGTGCGCGAACACTTGTGAAAGATGTCTGACAACTGAAGCAATTAGGACAATGTCAGGTCAAAGTGCTTACAGCACCAACACAAATGAAAAGAAGTGAAAAGAAAGTTGCGACAAAATACAATGGCATCGTTAGACACTTCGTGTAAAACGTATGTTTCCAAGTGGACTGTAGACACCAGAAAGTCATGAATTGTGTTTGTATTTTATATGAAAGTATGATGACAAGCATGATTTCTTTTTCAAAAACATGACGTTGTTAACAGATCCAATTTTTTGCTTTTATTTTTTATAAAAATTGGAAAAACAAACCCTTTACATGAAAAGTATGTGAAATTTTTAACTTTTTAACTTTATATTCCCTATCAAAATGTAATTTTAATATTTGAATGAATATTTGATTAGATCGCACATATATAAGCAATATTTAAAGCTAACGGAAAATCTGATAAAAATTAAAAACCAACTGTGCAAATAAATTCAGCCATGACTTCATAATGGCTAACGTGTACAGATTTTAGATTAAGTTTACACATGAGCATCGATGAAGAGGAGAACATGTGTTTGTTTACATATCGCAATTATTTAATTTATACATCATTAGAGCGATTCCTGTATGGTTGTTGTTCACTGTTAGTTTATGATAATATAAAATTAATTTACATAATTATAGTATGAAATTGCAGAACATTTGCATAATTTGATTGAATAAAAAAAATAAGGCAACAAAGCAGAAAATATGAAAGAAAAATGAGAAATGAGCAAATAATGACAATGTTTTAGTTAAATTTCCATACTCACCTAAGTTTTCCACTTGACAGGGTAAGACCAACGTATCACCGACTACCGCACGATATGTATGACCTCGTGACAAAAAACGTGGCTGTGGTCCGTTGGCTGGGGGTGCATTACTAAGCGGGCGACTGTTAGTAGCTGTAAAGAAAAAAAAAAAAAACAAACACTACTCATCAAATATATTATATGTCTAAAAAATCGGCTAATAAGAGGAGAGAGGTGTATACTATCTTGTCTCTTCTTAATCAATTCCTTTACATGTAATATTTAGAAATGCAGGCCAAAGCTTCTAATATAATACCATTACTCTGCCACGTTTGTCGAGAAATTTTAAAAATTGCAATTTTTTTTCCTTATAACGGCTTTTTGTAATAGAGCGTTATATGGGGAGTGGGCGGAAAAGCATTTTCAATAGCGTTCATTCTTGAGTCCAAACACGTCAGTCTACTAAATTTCACCAAAACATTTAAGAAATGGCGAACCTATAGACGTCAGACCAGAGAGACTTAGATCGGATCAGAATTGCCGTAAAAGAAAATGTGAGTCAGTCTCTCTTAAGCCCTTCTGGGTGTTACATACATCCACACAAATTTAATATACCCTGTACCACAATGTAGGGTATAATGATAAAATAAAAAGCGCCTTCGTCTGAGAAAGAAGGCCATTTTTCCTTTTTTGATGGATGATGAACAGGATTAAAGAAGAATGCGTTGTATTAAACGCAAGAACGTCTACTAAAGCAACTTTTAAATTACACTGCCGTGGAAGGTTGGCGATCGAACTCTTTAGAAAGCCGATGTGTGACGTTACGAGTTCAGATATCAAAATCCAATTTAAATGTACTTTTATTAAAATAAATTTAATATCAAATATAAGAGAGTTACTAGGAGTTACTAGTTATTAGGATAAGGAAATTTTTTTAGAATATAACAAACTTTAAGCAATGAAACAAAAACCAACAACAAAATTTTTGAATGTAAAAATGTACACATGGAATAAATTATGTATTTTTGAGAGGAAGCCGACTTAGAGTTCGTCGGACACAATTTGCTCGAAGGAAACCAGAGATAGTGCAGGGCACAGAATGGGTCAGGGCTTAAAATCCGCCTATTCGATAAGCAGGTTTCGTCCACCCGTTCGTTCTTCTATGGGTAAAACACGTGTCTTTGTTTTAATTGTCGTCGTTTATAGATCTTGTGTGGGACGAAACTTTGAAATCCCCATCTCGCGAACTAACTAGATCAGCAATGACATGTGCTTCGGTGTCCACCATCTCTGATACTCTTCAAGTGGCACTTAAGAGTAGCCTTAAAAATAATAAAGTCGTAGGAAGAAGTAGTTCGATAGTTAGATAGACAATGCTACCGTCTTCTGTCGCCGCTATTAAACCTTTTCGTAACAGAAAATAATATACGCCTTCTCTGTAGCGGTTATATTATATTATATTAATGTAGTTAAAATGTCAGGCAGTCGCAGGTTGTAACACATAAATGCGCTTGTCATTGCAAAGCTAGCTAGTTCGGAGGTAATGGAGTGTGTATTTATCCAGAAAAGTAGTGTCGGTTACATCAAGATGTAGACATGCCGAAAGACGGGCGATCGAAACTTTCTTACCGGACGGGCTGATGTGCCCTACGCACGATCTCCCTCGGCTCATAATCTTGCGGGACAAAGCCTCCTTCTCTCTCTCCTAACAACCATCTCTAACGCTTTAGCCCCCTCAATGCCTGGCTACAATTTCGGACAAGCTCTTGGTTACAAGTTGTCATGGATTTGCAAGTAAATATATTGTAAATAATATATAAAATAATCTTAAAAATGTTATGTTATTCCGTTACGATTAAATTTAAGGTATTTTGATCAATTTTGTGTCTTTAATGAACTCTACAGTAGAGGATAAGCCGAACATGGAATGCTACTAAGGAACTTTGATGACTTTTGAGAATTTCCACAATTTCGTGCACGCTTTCAGTTTGATATCTTGAGTTATATCAGAATTTTTTTTTTTTTTTAAAGAAAGAAACTAAATTAGTTTTTTTTTGAATTTCTAAAAAGAATGAAGAAAAGTTTCTATTGAAGGACTTTACAATGGATACAATATATATGAAAATTATATCGCTTCTTAAAGTATCCGTTTATACGTTTTCATGCACTTAAATATTAACAACTCTTCAAATATGTATTAATATCACAATATTATGTAATGTGAGGGGCACAAAAACACATATATAATACGAGAAGGTCTTCTATAAAGCAAAAGAATAGTAAATGTGTGTAACATATGGCAACAACTTACGTATACGTATATGTAAATATATATATGTGAACGTCAATGCCAATGAAAAGAAATCCATATGAAATTCAAGTTGATTGCAAATACAACCACACAACCGAACAGCATAACAATACAATCGTACTCGCACAGATAGTCATGAATATGTACTTTTGTATTCGATTATGTTTTATATGAAGCGTAAATGCATATATATGTGCACATATATGTACATTGCTTTCTTAAATAACAATAATATTGTCTGTCATTATGTCTAAATATGTGAGTGTCGTCCTCCCATGTTTAACATATAAACCCAGATTTTATTTGGCACAGAGCCCGACTGACTGACACTTGTACATTATTTTATTTCATGAAAATATATTAAACATAAGCAAACATACACTTTCAGTTTACAATCAATTCATTCACACTGCTATTGCATGCATTCATTTTAAGTAGACTTGGATAGTAATAGAACTCCTTTCAAATTTAATTGAATTGAATTTAGATAATGAATCTTAAGCCTAATTTTTCGGATTAAAAAAGAACATTTCATACAAATATATATGAAATGATTTTTATTCATTAATTTTCTTCATTAGATTAGATTCTATGTAATCATAAGGAGATAAAGCAGAGAAAATGAGAAAACTAATAGCATCAACCTATCAGTTGTTAAAGGGAAACAACGAACGGCGTATAAAACCCTTGCACATACGAGTTGCACGGCTTAGGAAACACGAAGTCAGACTCGATTGAAAAAATATTATAATACTGATATTATTTTGGCAGTACTTCCACTGATAGCACAAATTCTTTTTTTTTTTTTTTATATTCGTGATGATCAGGGAAATCTTAGTGATTATGATCCGATTTGGCGAATTTCTCTTTTCTCCGTATCAACGGGTCTACTCTTTTGTGCATCCATCTCTTTATTGCCTTAATATAAATCCTTTGGTGGATCTGAATAATCGAAAGATGTTCAAAAGATTAAAAATTCACTCTAAAGCGAATACGGTTCTCTTACTTCTTCGCAGTTTTTTTACTTCGCTATTCGAATTTGTGTAATTATATTAGTGGCACGCTTTCGTACCTTTTCTTTTATAGCGAAGAAATTGAATGAAAAGAAAATGATTTCAAGTTTTCACATAATCCACGAATGAATTGATAAATTTCACTTATCCATCACGCAAGACAATCGCTTCTAACGAACTCAATGCAACTATGCGAATACATTTGAAATATTTTTGAGAATAACTTTGTTTAAGTTCTTGAACTTCCAGAACAAAGAGTGCACCGATAAAATGAACTCTATAAAATTGTTAGGAATGCTGTTCAAAGTTTTTTATACATACATATGCGCAAGTGTATGGGTGTATACAAATAGACATATGCATATAAGCCATATACATTTGCACGTGTATATGTGTATATGTGCTTGCATGTAGAATAGTAAATAATGATATGCAAATTTTATGCAGCGTATATATGATTTTTTCTAAACATAGTTGAAGTGCTTTTCTTCTTTTTCATTTTCCGTTTCCTTCTAAATCAAGACGAAACCAAATAAGAAATCTAATCGCACAACTGGTATGTTGACGATACTAACAACAACAATAATAAGATTAGCGTATTAAAGCCCGAAGTAAGAAGGAGAGCTAACTAAATATTCACTAAAAAATTTCAATGCATGTGCATATCTCCTGAGAGTGACTGACATTAGCAGCTTCTCGAAAGATGGATTTTAACCAAATGTATATGTATATGTAGCTGTAGCTGTTGCATATGTTTCTTCTTCTTTCCACTTACATATACATACACTATATACTGTATACTTAGCTAGGTATGTACATCAATATGAGCTCTGACTTACTCAAGATAAATAGGTTGACTACTATCGACACATACATGTACTTGACTTGCTGCTTCACACACTAAAAAGCTATGCAAAAATATTGAATGGGGCGGGGGGAAAAAAAAGAAGAAAAGAAGAAAAAGAAAAACATTCTGAATAACTGTCAAGCGGATGTTGGTTGAAAATCGATTTGCATACCAAGCGTACAAACAGAGTCAATAACTGTAGCCGATACATACATATAAAGCGCTACTACTAACAAGAACGTCACAATCACATTATTTATACCCACAACGGATGATATACACATATACGCTGGCAAGCTTTACGTTAGGTGTCAAAATGTGTGTGCGTGTGTGCTCATTTGCAAAATATACCCAGAAATTGCATATAAGGTTCAGATGAGTTATCTGCTTTCCAAAGTCTACACATACAAGCATATAGAAAATGCAATCGACTTGCCTGCTGTTGAAGTTTGGGACTTATAAGCGAAGTCGTTGATTGCGTTGATATCGTCGTGTTTTTCACAGATTTTTTTCCTTTTTTTTCTTTTTGTGGGAGCAAGGATTTCTCTTTGTTAATGTTAAGATGCTTGTGCTTTGAATTTAGAAATGTATGCTGACAGGAAATAGTATTGTGGTGTGTGTGCGTGTGTGTGTGTTTGTGTGTGTGGTAAGTGAAATGATGAGTGTCCATCCTTCACATATGGGGAAAAGTCTGACTTTAATATCTCGCTGCTGTTATATAGTTGTCCAAAACATATTCAAGCTAACGAACTCGATTCGTAAATTTGCATTTTCGTAAAACGCTACGTGTTTCAGTTCGATACATGTGCGGTCGTATGTGTTTTGATAAATGTAGATTATTGACAGCGAAAGAAAAAAAATTGATTACGTAGTCAAATGGTATACAAACATCGCAATCGTGAAGTATGTTTTGCACAAGAGGTTGTCAATCTCCTAAGCTACTGCAACTTTCCAAGAAATACGATTTTTTCGCATCTTACCA